TACAAATTCCCCCCGGACGCTATTTTTAGCACAAAAAGGAGGACATGTCTGGGTAAATCCGGACGAATGGTAACCCTAAGGACCCCTGTCCATCCCACTCCTGCACTACCCCCTCCAGCGCCCCCAACCTGGTCAAATCTCCCACTTCCCCGGCCTTGTCTCCAGCTCCACAGCCCCCATATAAGAACAGCCATACTGGGTCAGACCAAAGGTCCATGTAGCCCAGGGTCCTGTCTTCCGCCAGTGGCCAATGCCAGGTGCCCCAGAGGGAATGAACAGAACAGGGAAGCAAGTGATCCATCCCCTGTTGCCCATTCCCAGCTTTTGGCAAACCGAGGCTAGGGACACCATCCCTGCCCATCCTGACTAATAACAATTGATGGACCCATCCTCCGTGAACTTATCTAGTTCTTCTTTGACCTCTCTTATAGTCTTGGCCTTCACAACATCCTCTGGCAAGGAGTTCCACAGGTTTACGGTGTGTTGTGTGAAGAAAAGACAGTGTGATGCCGTCGCAAAAGAGAGGGTGCATTAAAAGGCATGTCATACGCAAGACACGGGAGGCTGGTGTTCCGCTCTGCTCCGCACTGGGTGAGGCCTCAACTGGAGTATAATAGCCATTTCTGAGACCCGCACTTTCAGAAAGATGGGACCAAACTCGAGAAAGAGGCCAAAGCAGACCAACAGAAATGAAAACCCGACCTGTGAGGGGAGGTGTTGGAATTCCCCACCATTGGAGGTTGTTCCTGTGACACCGTTTGAGGTCCACTAGCTGAAGGCGCTATTAAACTCAACTATCAACCCAACCCACCGAAGGGTAGTCAAAATAGACCCGTGGCCTTCCAGAAGGTCCAGGAACAGGCTTAAAATAAAAAAAAGTATGCAGAGCCTGTCGTAGGGATTTCCCCGCCCCAGCCATGCCAGAAGACCCCTCCACATTCTCCATTGAGCCACAGTCACCAGAACCCAAGTTCTGCCATTTATTGCTCGGCCATAAAAAAATTACTCTAAAACAAGTCAGACGGCAACGTTGCTGCACCTCTGACGTGCCAAGAGGGCTCCTCCGGCGAGGAAGAGAACAGAGACAGCCGCCGCTAACCCACTCAGCACCAAAGCCACCCCACGATACTTCATGGCCCCTGTGGGGAAGAGACCAGAGAGTTAGAATTGGCGCCAAGAGCTTGCGTAGAGTTGATGGGACCATTGGACCATCCCATCTGACTTCCTGGCTAGCACAGAGCGAAAGGCAATGGCTTTTCTCCCCTGTATTGTTCCCAATAACTTTGTGTTGGATTGACGCATCTTCCAGTCCGGATTGGAAGATATTTAATACCTATCTTCGCATTCACTAATGAGACGTCACCTCCGGTCGCCCGTTGGCCAACGGTCTCAACCATCCATCAACCACTGTCACATGCCCTTCCGTGCCTCCCCCCCCCCCCCCGCTGCCCCCAAAACAACCTCATTCTCTTTCCCCATGCTGCTTTCAAAATTACTACGCTCAAAAGCTGGCGAATTGAGTCCACCGCCCTCCACCCCACATAAGAACGGCCGTACTGCGTCAGACTAATGGTCCATCCAGCCCAGTATCCTGTCTTCTGACAGTGGCCAATGCCAGGTGCCCCAGAGGGAATGAACAGAACAGGGAATCATCAAGTGATCCATCCCCTGTTGTCCATTCCCATCTTCTGGCAAGCAGAGGCTAGGGACACCATCCCTGCCCATCCTGGCTAATAGCCATTGATGGACCCATCTTCCATCTCTAGTTCTTTTTTGAACCCTGTTCTAGTCTTGGCCTTCACAACATCCTCTGGCAAAGAGTTCCACCGGTTGACTGTGCATTGTATGAAGAAATACTTCCTTTTGTTTGTTTTCAACCTGCTGCCTATTCATTTCATTTGCCAACCCCCAGTTCTTGTGTTATGAGAAGGACTGAATAACACTTCCTTAGTTACTTTCTCCACACCCGTCATGATTTTATAGACCTCTCTCATATCCCCCCTTCACCATCTCTTTTCCAAGCTGAGAAGTCCCAGTTTTATTAATCTCTCCCCATACGGCAGCTGTTCCAGACCCTTCATCATTTTTATTGCCCTTTTCTGCACCTTTTCCAATTCCAATAGATCTTTTTTTGAGATGGGGCAATCACATCCCGCATTGTGCTGTCATTTCTCACCTTCTCTGGAGATAGCAAACTCTTTGGAATGTAGAGCTGGGAGGTGTCTTGAGAGGACATCTAGTCCATCCCCCTGCACTGAGGCATGGGCAAGTATACCTAGACCATCCCTGAGAGCTGTTTTTAATCCAACGGAGGGCCCGGTCCACCCATGGGCTACCATATTTCCCCGATCGCTGTAAATCACTGGATTTCCCCCCCTACCTTTAGCGGTCATCTTCACCACCTCCACCTGGTCCCTGGACCTCGGAGTTGCCTCACGGCTCGGCAAAGGGCCTACCATCACATCCGTCTCTGTTTCTACCTCAGAGGAATTGCCTAGGGGGGGGGAAATTTCAAAGGATAAGCCTCGATTGCACTGGAGATATTAGCCTGGAAGGCGGGAACGACTTTGATCGATAGATGCTCGCAGACCTCGTTAAAAGTTGACGGGTTGAGCCACTTTTCCGTCAGGCTGACTAGACGGAGCAATTAAGCCCCTTTAGGCAGTAGAAGCCACCACCCAAGACACCCAAGCAGGTTAATCCCTGTGTCACAGTTCCCACCACTGATCTGGTCCCATTTTCATCTCAAGCCCCTAGCTGTCACCTTTGGGCAGGCTCTGCAAGTCACTTCTTCGAGACCGGGGATTTACGCTGAACTTCGCTGCCATTATCCCAGGGACCACGACAGGGTGAACCAGCCACCAGCCAGCTCCAGGAGAGCAAAGTGGATTCAAAATACATGCCCCATCCCCCCCCCCATAAACAGTTACGTTTTGCCTGTGCCCACAGCTTCCTGCTGTCAGCCACCGCTCTCGGGCAGGGACCCACATCCCTCAACCTTCTGATCGGCCCAACGGAAACCCCAAGGATTAGGGAACTGAAAATAGAGCGATTGGGGGGGCGGGATTTCTGACCACAGGAACACACAACTCAACCCCAAGAATGTCCTGGCAACGAACTGACATCTGTAACAAGTACACGAGCTACCTTCACAGATGAGGAAGGTGATGGTTCTACAAGGGATAGTGTGAGTAGATGGATGTGCCAAGGTACATTGTGTAGCATCTCGATCGACCTTACTGAGCTGGGGTGTTTGTGACCATGCAAATTGTATTCAACAATTATTTTGTTTTCAATAGAGAGGAGTTCCTTTAATCTGAGTGTTGCTTGACTGGGATTCCCAGCTATATAATCATGTGTATAATACGGGGCCTGATCTTGGGACAAGAACCTGCCAACCCTCAAAGGGGTAACTGGGGATTCTTAAGTAATCAATATAATTAATACATCTAAAGATCGGGCCACAAATGAAAGAGGCACTGGGGCTCAAGCGATTAGATGCCGGGGCTCAAGCAAAAAAAATTTTTTTTTTTACGTTCATAACAGCAAGCCCAGAGGTGCCGGGGCTCTGAACGGCCAGGCCCAGAGGTGCCGGGGCTGAGACCCAGCACAGATTAAGCCCAGCCCCTCGGGCTGTCTCAGCAAGGACATTTATTCTTAAGGTGAAAGCGTTATGGAGAAGATGAAGTACGAGTTCCTGTACTCACGCCGAAAGCTTACCAGTCCCCCCATACAGCGCCAAAAATCTTTCCAGCCCATGGGCTGAAGGTCCTGGCCAGTGGGTGGGTCAGAGAGAAAGCCAGTATCACTTCCAGCTTATCCTTTTATACCAAAAGCATTTTCCTCGTCTTGTAGCAACTGGAAAACCCAGCTCAGACCTGTATATGGAAGCCACCACCTCACTAGCATGGTTTATCCAGTGTAATCACCTACCACTGATTTTTCTTCCCAGAGAAACTCTGATGTGACCCTCCCTCCCGGAGTAGGACATGACCCTGCATAAACCTGTCATAGCTTGAATCCCAGGGTACGTCCAGACTACCCGCCCTGTCGGTGGATAGCAATCAATTTATCGGGGATCGATATATCGCGTCTCATTAAGACGCGATATATTGATCCCCGAACGCACTCC